ATTAGAATTCAGAGCAGAGCTTTAGGTATGTCACCTTTAGGTAGGTTTATTTGAAAACAAATATATTGTCATCCTTCTCATATATATATATACTCGTATATATAGAGGAGAAGCTCAAACCCATTTAATGAGTCGCCTTTTAAAAGTCAATGAATAAAGCGGTCTAAAGATTCTTTTGGCTCTCATATCAATATATAAGTTTCGAAAAAAAATTAAGTGTAAGTTGGACACACGAAGAGGGCCATATAATATATCGCATTTAGTTATGATCTTATGGTTGGTAGAAATACCGCAATACTACCAAAGTCAATTAGCACATAATTAAAAAAAAACTTATTTTATAGAAAAATATACGCCCGTAATGTCTATGTCAATGTCATTACTTTCAATTGACGTCAATACACGGTAAAAAGGGTCGACGTTACGGTAATATAGGCATTACCGGTACAATGAATCTGCTTTCTGTTAGATTGGAAACCAATTGGGTAAGTCGGTAATTGGGTTTCAATTAGAGTACTTACTGTTTTAGTTTCGTGTCAATTTGGACAAGCCGAGTTAGTAACGATAACGTCGTAACTCATTGGAAGTAAAACTACTTATACAGTTGGGTAATAAATGGCATGCAACAAACATTGTTGCAATATAAGGGGGTTTGCGTTTTACTCAGGTTTTTTCGATGAGCACGTCATCAGGTTGTGCCTGAATGATGGAGAACATGGACAATATTTATGATACCTTTCTTATTTTTCATCAAATCAACTTTAAATACTATATTAATATGTGTAATAAACTGCTTAATCGATATTAGTGAATTGGTATAAGGATAGAGTTGACCTTGGGAAAATATAGGTTACCTTCTATTGCAAAAAGACGTTGAAGGGATTGAAATATGGTATTCAAAGATAGTGTGGAAGTTCGTCATTGCCAAAAATTATTTAATCTTGGCATTAAGGCACATGATGAATAATAAATATGTATATATTTAGCAAAAAAAACATAACAAAAATACATAGCACATGAATCATAGGGTTGGGTCGTTTGTACGATTGAATCGATCGCATCTAAAAGTTTTTATTATTGTAACGCTTTCCGATTTGTACTTATCGTATCTTATTCACGATTTAATATTACATAATATCTAATGCAAAAAGATTGAGAACAAGGTGATACATATTGTTAGTTTTTAATGAAACAGTGTTATTTAAGAGAATTATATCGTAACTTTACGCTTTCTGCACCTCAGTTAAACTCACAAATCTGTTTGTAATGAACCGTGGCAAACCCGTCATCTCTTTTAGTGTATTTTTACTGTTATGTTGATCGCTAGCGAAGACAGTGTCTGTTTGTTTACGGCGACTTAAGTGTGATGGCGTTATCTTAAATTAACCGGACAATCTAAAACAACCGTTAAAACTATATATTTAAAGACAGGTTTTTTAAGTTGGCACGTTAAAATATTTACCTGGCTTAGTGTATTCGCGTAATGTTATATCAGCAAATATCTCAGCTCCTTCGCTCTTCGGATCAACACGCTAAAAATAGCGAAAGATTGTAAGCCAGTGAATAGAATTTCCAGTATGTACTTCTTATTCCGAGTACCTATTTATTAGCTAATTTATAAAGCAGTTAATACTGTCTGAAATTATGACAACCTACTAAGTTTAATAAATATTTTTACCAGAATAAACTAACGCTAAAAAATGAAAAATATTTCACATTTATTAATGTAAATGAAACTTACTCGTAAGCAATTCCGTCTACCAAAAGAATGCGATCAAATTACTATTCTGCTAATTTCGAATATGGAATGTTAACGGACGCGGGTGTTGATTCGGCATAGATTTAGCTTAACTCATTTAGAATATGTAGATTTTAATTATGATTTCGCTTCGTTACACGGAACGGGCTTTATTAATGTCCAGTGTAACTATGCTTCCTGCCCGGTTAGTCAGTGCTATTTACCTGATGGCTTGAGTGTATTTTTATCTTTAGGGAACCAAAGTAACTTGTGTGTTAATCTAGACTTAGAATTATACATATACCAAGTTTCATCAAAATCCAGTCTGTAATATATTAACTCTTATGATCATTAACATTAGAATGATTATTAATTAATAGTGTGTTTTGTTTCGAAAACAGGTGCGAGTTAGAGGTGATTTAGTGAACAATGAATGGTACCGGCATCGAAAATAAGAGAACTCGAATGCTACCTTCATTCGAGTTACCTCCAAATTTACGAATAACACCCACCGTTATGACTTCCTCCTTGGTCATAGCGTAAAACATCGGGAATTTATCATACATCCTAACAAACTTTCGAATTTATAATTACTAGGACTAGGATACAACAACCTGTTTTCTAACAGAAATACGCAACTACACAATATAATAAAACAGAATGTTTAAATCGACTTTTAACACATTCATCTTATGAAAATATATGCGTAAAAAACTTAAGGAACGGTTTTGAATATAGACTATGGCAATTTGCCAAAGCAGTTATTCTTATAACACTTTTTACACTCTAGTAATAATACTACGAGATTATAAATATGATCAAAAGGTGTTCTCACTATTGTATGAAAAACTGACATATTTTTTGCATGAATAAAAATGTACAGCTTGTTAGAAGTAGAAAATTATGCAATTAAATTTGCTAGGTATTTCAAGCATTACGCATGCATGTTAGTGAGGTACACCAGAAATTACTATCTTACAATTGTTTTGGTACCATGATATATTGTCTAAATATATATTTTTTTAAAACCAACCAAGTCAGAGTATTAGTCGCTCACGAAGCGTTCCGGACCCGAGAAAAACAACTTTAAAAAAATAGAACCGACTTCAAATTTAAAAAAAAGTGATATTTAATGCTTATCTCAGAAGCTACTTATTAAAGTAAATGCTATTGAAGTAGGGGCGGAACTTTTCTGTAGGTTTATTAATTAAATGATGGGTGCCCAACTTCAACAACATTTTCTTGAATAAGTAGCCTTTAAGATAAGTGTTATTTATTTATTTTTTTTAGTTTCACATTTTTGACAGACGGACAGACAAGGCTAAGTAATAGGGTTCCTATTTTACCTTTTGGTTACGGAACCTTAAAAATAAGAATCCTATAAATAAGGTTGTTATGCAATTTCGCAATAGCCGGTTATAGGACGGGTGACCAAAAATTTATTATCTAGAGCTCCCCTGTACTTCGGAAGGGATGTTAGCCGTTGGTCCCGGCTGCATCTGCAGTCATAAGTACACACCAAGCCACACTGGGCTGATGTAGTGGGTTATGACATTACTGAGCTGGTGAAGTGAGGTATAAATAATAAGAAGATTGAAAAAAATAGTTCAATAATAATAAAGCCTGGTGACAAATAGATGGACAGACATGTTTTTATCCTTTGGGTAGGAAATATTCTTTTAAAATTCAATATCTCATAATTGATATTCTTTTTTATATTGATAAAAATATGGGTTATGCAATAAAGTAACTAAAAATTAATAGCACCAAATTAGTTAAAAATAGTTTCTATGCATTCAATTCACCGACATCTGTCAATGTCTATATCATTGTGGCTTGAGTGAGGTAGAGAGGGGCAGTTTTTGCGCCCAGCCTTAAGAACAAATGGAGACACATTATAAATATTACCATACTTAGGAAAGCATGTTCCGCTGTTGGTTCTGACTGCATTTGCAGCCCTTAATACCCTCCAAATAGCATCAAGCTATGTGGATAAATGTGGAGGATCATGGCCCATTTTCCTTAACCATCCATAAGGAAAACCTGACCCCCTAAAGTGGAAATGTATAAGGGCTGATGAAAATGTCAATGTAAAAAGATCAATAAATAAACAGACAAAAATATGAAAAAGGAGGTCGCTCCAGCAGTCAGACTTCAATAAAAACAATATAAATATTATAGATAAGGTTTTGCCTTCTTGTACCCAAATAAATGACAGTATTGTGATAGATTTACACAACATTATGTCCAGTCAAAACTGCCAAAGGCTTTCAATGAATTCTGAATGCCACTTGCAACATGTTAATGATTAAAATTATTAGAAAAATTTAACAGCCTGATATGCTGTTGTCTGTTCAAAGTTTATTAAGACTTCATTACAATTTAATTTTTTTAAAGTAAAGGTGTAGCATTGAGTTTTATAACTAGAAAAAGTAGACCTCAGTTTCAAAATCCAGCTTTGCATACAAAAATAATTGGCATAATAAATATGGCGAATCATGTACATCAAAATAAGTAAAACAATTATAATATTAATAAATATAGGAAAGAATTATGAGTAGAATAAAACATAAGACATCACTTTCAGTAAGCTAAACCAGGCAATATGTTATAGTGGCTGTCACCATAGGAAAATAGTGTATATTAGACAATATTGTCTTCTGTTGATGTAAAACCATTTATTCTGTAGTTTACACACATAAAAATTCATCCTGTTTATATAGCATTCCATCAGTGATTTCGCCTGTGTGAATCGGTTAATCACTAATGCATAAAAATCAATTGCGTAGTTTAAAAGAACTCAACATACAGACTAAAGGGAGTGACTATATAATACATAAGCATCTTCGAAATTAAAAATTTCTAAATAATTGTCTCTCTTTGACCTTATATTAGCATAAAAGTATCTTGCATGTAATTGCTATGCTAAATTAAAAGAAATTTTAATTAATTTAAATAAGCAATAAACATAGACTTCCACATTGATACCATTAGTACTTTATTTATGGTTCTAACAAGAATAAAGTGACATCATACCTGGATCTCGTTATTAGAATAAGTAAACTTAAATTTTAGAGTGTGTCTTTACAACATCATGAGGAATGTTATCAGAATCTGCGCAATCTGTTCTAATCTTCCGTTATCTTGGAGCCCGGTTGACTCGACACACGACGCATCTCGGCGTTCGTGGCAAAAAAAAAATCGTCGTGTAAAAGAAACAGCAAAGCTAATATAATAACTATAGTGAAATCTATCAACTCACCTGTGAACTCCAGAACAATTAGATAAACAGCAAAATCGTAATCCAATAGATGTTATTGACCACTGATCCTATTACAACGAAGACACAACAAACATTCTATACCGAATAACACAAATTTAGTCACCACGTGTAACACAAAATGTGCACTATAAAAATTTTGGAGGTGAATTAATATAAACACATTTGAAAATACCAAATTACAGTAATTTATTTTATTTCAACACAATATTCGGATAAGCCAATTCGCGTCTCTACAGTTTGAAACATCGGCCATCACTAAAAATGTTGCCACAGCAATACAGCACAAGTCACGTTATTGTTAAAAACTCACGTGTACTTTCTTTGTGACCAATTTACCAAACAAGCACCACCACCACTATTTTAAAATTATTTCTATTATAGGTTTTCTTCAATTATTTCTTTATATAATCTCTTAATTGTATTTTATAAAAATAACATAATCCTTGAAAAAAATAGCAAAAATTTATTATGACCATAATTATTAGTATAGAATATATATATTATATATATATATATATATATATATATATATATATTAGATCTATATAAAGCCTATATGTAAGGTTTACTTTTCAGCCTTCTCACTACAACTTTAAGCATGGGCAATGACAATTAGTATGGTTATTTTGAAGAATACTATTATTAATTACTGTTGTATTTTTTGTAGACTCCAGAAGTAATTTGTGTAAAAATAAATTGTCATAACTTGAATATTACACGAACATGAAATGTACACTACAAGTAAATAAAACAAAGCATTTTTGTGGCCAGTACCCTATTACAAGAGAAATATTTTTGACTGGCAGTATTGTTATGTTATTTGGTTGTCAAAAATGTATGTTCGTTCGTTCAAGAACTAGAATTTTACACTGAGTATTTGAAAATACGTAGTATCTTCTTCTTAGTCTGTGGTTTATAAGATCTGAATGTTTATTACAGGAGTTGAATAATATTAGAATATTAACTTCATCTCATCAAAAGTAGAGAGAGCAATAGATAAACTCTATCTAATTCTACACTTTTGGATCGAATCATGATTATATATTTTTATTTAAATAATTATTCGAATATTTGGATGAAATTAAGATAAACAGTGGATTTAATGAAAAAGGCATGCTTTATCAGTCAACTAGAATGAATGTTCGAAAAAAAGTGACTTCAAAAGATATTTTTTTGTAAAGATATTACCATAGTCACTTTTTCTTTATTTTGAGTGAAAAAGTTCCGGATAAAATAATAAGAATTAAGTCATATCTACGTAATTTATTCCACTTTATGGTACTTTTTATTTGGTCTGAGAATCTGAGATGTTACCGTGGAGCGGTTAACACTCACAGAATGTCAAGTCAAAAATTATGACTTGATGCTGTATTGTAGATCGAAGCTTTCGTCTATGATTTAAATTCAACAAAATTCTAAATTTAACTTGAGCGTTCACTTTTATCACACAAAAAGCAGGGTTTATATAATATTAAAATATGAATTAAACTGAGCGAAACACGATTCTGGCGAAATCCACAAGGGCAACGCCATTAATTAAAAAGAAGAAGCTTGGTATTTTAAACGAATGAGTTTGAAAGTGCGGTAGTTTAGAAAATATACGCTACCAGGTGAAGTTAGCCCAGCAGCGCCACATCATTTCTTAATTAAATCAAGTTTATACTTTATTAATTTATCGTAGCTTTCTGTGTATGTTCCAGACAGTATACTTATAAATAGAAGTCCCAGGCTTATTGATAAAGAACTAAAATCTGGAATTACTGAGTTCGAGACGTCTGCTCAGCAGCGCCACAAAGACTCATTTATATTGGCATATATGTTATTTGCATGTTAGTCTCTAATTCGTAATGTACTAGGTATAAATAAGGGACTCTAAATTATTTCAAAATCAATGATAGTGGCGCTTCCAGCCTGACATGCACATATTTGTGACCTTTGCATTATAAACAACGCCGATACAGGATTAATGAGACTTTTTAGGATAATTTTTAAAACGAAACAGTACCTGAATTTCCAGTTAAATATCTCTCATTACAAAGTGAAAGGCAAATCATACTGACATTAACTGCGTATTCTCAGATTACTCTGTTGGTCTGGTCAGGGTATCTATTGGGTATGTAAATTCATATATGCATAAAAGTACACAGTTGAAACGGCTGTATCTAGGAAGTTGTTACAGGGTTCTTTTCATGACGTAAGTGATAACCGGAGTAGCTCGGTGGCGTAGTGTATAAGCGCTGCGGCACGCGATCGTTGTCGTTAAGCAACTTTCGTAAGGGTCGGTCACGGGATGAGTGACCAAAAAAGTGTAGAGGGTCAAATAATAACCTGCTAAGAATAGATTTTTAGAAATTCAACCTCCAAGGAGTTGTAATAGGTGGGTGTATTTTATATAAAATTTTATTATTTCTGGACTTAGAAGTATAAAAACAAGAACACGCGGGCGTAGCCGCTGACTAGTAGAAAAATAAAGGTAATAAAACGGCGTCTATAGAATATTAAACAAATGTATTTTTAACAATTCCTCTGCAGCTAAACAAGTCGCAACAACAGGTAGGTACACATTTTAATGTTGGATTATGATTTTATGAAATATTAAGTTTCCAATAATGTGTTAATATGCTTTATTTTGGACAATAATTTTTATACTACCACAACATTAAATAAATTATATACGCCACCGCGTTATATGATCACTATATTTACTGCATTTAATTGATTAAGAAAATCAAGTGATAAAATACTTTATAGAAAATACAATCGAACCTATTCTTGATTACCACGAAGCGAATATTAATGTGTACAATACCCTGCCCTTGTTAAAAATGTATTTAAAAAAACTTTAATCACTTTTACCATTTCCCTTATTGCCACAGTAAGCAAGGGCCTAGGGTGGCCAATAATGGCATAGAATATATTGATGATAACGAGAAATTACCCAAAGTAAATAAAATATTGTTATGTATGAAAGCTCAAAAAAGAGAAGTCTTCGTTTTGGATAGAGAAATAGTTTAGACTTTTAAACAACGGCAGAGCAATGTACAAATCTTATAATACAGGCACATTTTTCATTAAAACTAACATATAAATAGTCAAATCCAGATACAGTGTAACAAGGGCAACCAGTCAAATAAAAATAAATTGCAAACAAAATCAAATCGATTTGGTTGGCAACCCTGGTAATACGATATTATAGAAAAATTATTCGTTATCAATTTACCAACAGCAACACTATTATTGTAAATTCATAACAAACAGCATAATACATCTCACAAATGGGGCTTTCAATAATATATTGGAGAAAAGCAAATTTCCCTACGATTTATATAGAAGGAAACGCATTATATACGACATTTAATAATATTTACAAACTTTTAAAAACGGTAAAGCAGTCTGGCGCTTTTGGCACAAACAAAGATTTTAGTACAAAGTGGAAAATCAATTAATATTTCAAATTTGAGAATACGATTATGAATTTAAAATTTAACAAAACAAGTTAAAGGATTGAACTTAACAGTTTGACGATGTTGATAACTTTATATAAAAAGGATTTTAAATATATCACATAAACATTATTAAAGATAGAGTAGGGAATACATATATGGATCCCGCGAATAGAAAGAGAGATTCTCTACTGACGCATGAACAGTAAAGGACAGCTATATACAAATCGTCGCATTGTTCAGCTGAGTTCTACTGCCACGAGATAGACCAATCGGTGGCGCCATTTCGTAAACAAATCGAAATTAGTGCCGTGTTAGCGGAGAATTATTATGCTAAATGAACTTTACGAGATCAGTTGACTGTATTATATATAGGCATAATTTTATACGCGTGGAGTAGTTTCTTTGAGCAGAAATATTATTCCCTTAAAATACTTATTTTTTTTAAATTTATTAATGACACAAACATATATTTAAAATTTTATTATTTGCGAAAAAAACATTGAGTGTCACTTAATTACTTTTGTTAATCTTCTGTTTATTCTTTATTATTACTTCTGTTGTCAAATATTTATCAATTGTTTAAAAAAATTTGATAATGACAAATTTCCAGGCAAACTTTCATCCCCTATTTTTCGCGATAAAATGTAGCCTATGTCCTTTCTTAAAGTTAAGTCTATTTACTATATTAATTTCCATTTAGATGGGTTCAGTTGTCTAAACGTAACAACACTTATTTATCTTACCTTAAGCTATCGATACTTTTAATACGATTCTAAAATCTAGCTAAGTATCGATACTAGAACCATATGCTGATCAAATTAGAACTATACCGAGTTTGCCAAAGCATATGCAGTGATATATACCAACTATATTAAATCATCATATAAAATATAGCATTTTATAATCAACAATAAATATCGATTATAAGTTTATTGGAAATTAACAATATTGCCGAAATAAATATCGATTCAAATCGATTATTTTTTCCCAAGCCTATTCCTTATGAATTTTCCGGATCTCGGACACAGCAGTGCACAAGCGTAAACACGTTTTTCATTGCTGCCATCACGGACCTGAAAAAACCGGTCTGGAATAGAGAAAAGTAAAATTCCTGACAGTGCACAAGCGCGCATTACCTACATATGGCCTGACATATCGGACCTGAAAAAATCGGACCGCCGGACATGAAAATTCAGTGTAGTGCACAAGCGCCCTAACTACACACGCACGAGAGTAGATACAAACAGATGACCGCGATTTTCCCTCTCTTTCTGAGCAACAGCTCGTGGACTTGACTATCCTGTTCTACTTATAATATCTTTAGGAATAATATAAGAACGGCTAATCAGGACTTTCACTTGAATAACATGATTTTTGCCGAAAATTATTAACTTAACAAGATATACATAAATAAATGAGTGTTTCAATAAAGAATAACAGAAAAAAATAATGAAACTCTAAATTTATATTTACTAAACGCAATAAAAATGATAGTTCATTTATAAATATATCATTTTTGCTTTAGTCACTTATATGTATTTATCTTATATCTAAATATTAATGTTGACTAAAAAGGATACTGGTACAAAATTATAAGATCAAATGTTGGCTTGTTTCAATAATTCACGTCTTGTTAACATAGACGTAAGTCTCAATAATACATAATTAGTACAACCTCTATTTGTATTTATATAAGCAGAATAAGAACAGCGAGTAGGACAAAAAGTAAATATTTATTTTTTCAAGCTGCTCATTTGTAATTATATCAGCTGCTCATTTGAAAACGTACAATTATCTTTATGGCAACATTA